CCCATTCTAATGTTCCCGTTGTAAGAAGTGATCTTAGTCAAGCAGAGCGAGAAAAACTTGAAAGACAAGCTGAATTAGATAGCCTTAGGATGACGCGCCGTATTCTATATTATGATGAAACTTTTGAGAAAGAACAGGTTTTTGAAACTATTACTTATTCACATTCTAGGTGGATCTTCCTCTTCCTCCTTCACCTGTCTCTGATTCCCTTTTTCACGCAGAGCAGTGTTCGCCTCTTAAAGTTGTGTCCGATGACGATGAAGATGCTGAATTCAATTTTCCTTTGCCCCCGAGAGAGAGCGAATTACCCATCAATCTTGCTGATGATGATGTCACTTGTGCAGAAAACTTGCAAGAGCAAAAGACCAGATTGTCGGTGTGCGAAGTTAGTTTTAGTTTTTTGGTTTCGCATATTTACTGGGTATTCTTTCTAAGTACGCATAATTTTATAGCCACTTTGTGCTAGAACACCATCACCTCAGATGTCGTTGCCCTGCCGAAGTGACTCAGAGGGTACTGCTTATAGATTCTGTGGAAGAAGCCCACTTTCTCATCATGACTCATCGAATGCCGATTCTTCTTTTAATTCGTCTTCGGTTCTCTCCGAAATATCTCACAAGAAGAGAACTCCAGCAGGTATATGATTTCATCGCATTCTTTTTATATCAATTTCATATTTGTACGTTTACTCTGATTTGACTTTGCCCATTGTGCCCTTGTAGTGAAACAATGAAATAGATTATTTTTATTTAATATAATTGTGTGTAGAGAAACCGGGAAAATTCTTTTCCTTGATTGAACAACTTTCTGTCTGGTCTTTTAGTGGATATTCGCCTCTATCCTGTGAGATTGGCTTGGCATTGCTATTGTTTTAATTTATTTAAAAATAAACAGGAGACATCAAGAATCCACCTTTACTTACGTTATATTGAGTCATTTGTGTAATGTGGCTTGGCTACTTTTATTCTTCTGTATTTGCCTACCTTATGGATGATTACTATTGGGTCAAATTGCCAATGGAATTTAAACATTTATGCGGAGCCCCAGGTATTTATATATATATAAATGAATTATTGTTTGGCTGCCTCTATTAGTCAATTTGCTTTTTGCTCCCTAATTAACTTTTTTTTTTAAATGTATTGTCAATTTGCCGGCAACGCTTTACCAGCTGGTCCCGCCTCTTGCTTCATTCGCCGTCCTCTCGGTGAACGCAATGATGCTAACAGCGCTCTACTGCGGCAGAAGAGTGTTACCTTTTTACCTTCTCATAGGACGATGCCTATAGAGAGCTCTGTTCTAGATACAGACACTGAAAGCCAGAACTCTTGTTATTCTACATCTGATAGGAACTTAATTGGTGAAAATGATGATACTCAGTCTAATGGCAACGCTTGCGACTCCCTCCAACAAACAAATTATTTGGGATCAGGTAAAAGCCC